TTTTTTTTTTTTTTCCCTACAGGGGGCCGGGGTCCCGGGTGCCGACCCCCGGAACCCCGAAACCCCGGCGGGGTCCCGGGGCCGGGGGTCGACAACCCTGAAAGGTACCCATGTTGACGTAAGTGTGGACCTGGACCTTTTCTCGCGTTTACCAGAGCCTGGGGCAGCACCTCAGCCAAGGCGTTAAAAAAAAAAAAAAAAAAAAAAGGTAGACAAGCAGAAATGAAGACAACGACACATGCAGGCAGACAAAGAAGCAGGCATATAAGCAGGCACAGAGGCAGACGGATAAACGGACAGACAGACATACAAACTTTTTGTCTGTCTGTATGACTATGTGTTTGTGTGTCTGTGCATATAATGATGTTTTCGTTAAAAATGAAATGTTTTATGAAAAATGAACATACCTAAATTATCAATTTTCGACAAAACAGACATCGATGATATTTATGAACAGAATAAGAAGATTTTCGCTATATAAAAAACATAAGGATGAAAAGTTTAACGAACTTTGAAACATAAGAAGAACTGACAGTCTATGCTGCTAACAAAATTTTTTTTTTTCATAAGATTCATAATAATACATGAATACCGCGAAAGAAAATATATGTTTGAAAAATTCATATGCTGGGCAAAACGGCCACCATCATATGCCTTGCAAAGGGGCCTCCGCCCCTTACATCGCTAAGTGTTGTGAGTTACGAATTTCAAAGAACCATAGAGCACAAAAGCAAAAAACATGGTCAGACCCTCCGACAGATAACACCCCGATTTGCTGTAAAATCATTTTTTTGCTATCATACTTTCGACTTAGCTAACTTGAAGTTAGTAGATGCTATCTTCTATAATTGTAAACTGTCCAATCTTCCAAAACAGTGATATCATTTTGTCCATGATGTGCAGGGTCCCCTTACATCTCCAAGCATCGTCACTTAAGAAAGAACCAGAGTGCTTACTTTAAAGCAACTCTGGTTTGACCTCAGGACATATAGCATCCCGATTTGCGGTAAAAAAAACATTTTGCCATCATACTTTGGACTTAGCTAAGCTACCTATCTTCTATTGTTAATTGTCCAATCTTCCAAAAAAGTGGTATCATTTTGTTCATGATATGTAGGGTCCCTGTATTCTACATGCGCTTTTATTCTTTTATATTCCCGCAACAGGAGATGTCGCACATATTTGATTATCGTGTCAACAAGGCCATCCACTAATGTTTTCAATATCGGTTATTCTCTAATCACTCTCCGAAATTCTGCTAGCCTTCGCACATCAACGCTATCTGCATTGGACGTGCTAGCCAGGGTTGTCGAGCCCCGGCCTCGGGGCCTCAGCGGGGGTCCCGGGAGTCGGGAATCGGCACCCCTGGCCCCGACAAAAAAAAAAAAAAAGAGGGGGGTGCGCAGCCGCAACCTGCAGCCCCTGGGCCAAACTGCAATATTGCAGTTTTGGCCCGACCTCAGCCCCCCCCCAGGGCTACACCCCACCCTCATAAGCCCGGGGTAGTGCGGGCGCGGGGCCGGGGGCGAGGCCCAGCGGGGTGCAGGGTCGGGGTTGGCTGGAAGCGGGGGCGGGGG